TTAACCAAAACTTTTCTAAAATTCACTCTCACGAAAAATTTAAAGTACCATATTTTTCTGTATTTTTAATGTACTTACCTTTGATACTTACCTTCTATACTTACCTTTTATATCTCCTCTATATATTGGTCTATTGATAATATCTGTAATTTTTCCTTTTTTTTTTGCATTTTACTTAATTCTAATGAATTATGTAAGATAAAGTACTTACCTTTAATTTATACTTACCTTTGATAATCTTATCTTTTTGAGATATGATATTTTGAGAGGAATGTGTTCCTTTTGTTTTCCTAAAATTATGAATATGATTAATTTTTAGGAATATGTCAAATCTAAAAACTATTAAACTGGATAGCTACAATATGAGAAAAATTTCGCATATTCTTTATGATTTTCTAAGATTATATTGTTATATTCTTATAATACAAAATCATAATTTTAAATAGAAATAATAATTATCAATATTTTTTATTTTTCATTAGAGAAATATAATTCAATATGAAATAGCATGCGAAATTTTTCTAATATTACGATTTTCGAATATACATTTTTATAAAACTTTATGTACTTACGTGAGTTATTTGCTATTTATTATTTTTGCATACTTACATTTTATTATTGTTAATTTTATAGGCCTTGAATCTTCTTTTCATCAATTTTCTTAATTTTAATTCTAATGATCTTCCTTTTGCAAACTTTTCTCTGAATAATATAAGCCGTCATATTTTTATAATACTGAACAGATAATTTTTTTTAATTTCAAAAGATTGGGAAATATAGCCATATTTTTGATATATATTACTTGATTTTTTTAATTATATGATTGATTTATCTACTGTCTCCATGCGTATAGTTAATCTGTACTGCTTATAAATTACTTATGTTATTATAACATAATTAATTCTTATGGATTATCGTTAATTATAATTAATATTTGTAGATGTTTATATAAAATTAAATTTTATTCCCAGCACTATTATGATTATAATTTTTTTTTTATATTGAACCGATAATGTACGTAGTACGAAAATAGCAATAAGTTCATTGTTCTCAAATTCTTGTGATACGGAAAAATATTACATGTCACGTCTGTTCTAGATGTTGTAACACGATCATAACTTTCGAATTGTTATATTGCAGCCAGTAGAGCAATAAAATGTTCACGTGAATTTACCTGTTATTTGTTCCCATTTCTAAATTACGAGTGTTTCTGTTCTTTATAGTATCTTTTTTACTATAGCATAGCAGAGTTTCACTATGGCGAGTATTTAACAGAATTATTTCGAAAATAAATTTGTCGTTTATTAATAATTTATATAATTATTTCGAAAATAAATTATATAAATTATATTTTGTTAATATTTAATAAATTGTATGTATATCTGTATATATATTGTTATATTAGTACACGATTGATTCTATTATACTTATTGATCCTATTATACTTAATATAATTTTTAAAGTTCAATAAACTATGCTTGTATATTATATTTCTAACTTTGTAACATTTTATATATTATATATTATATATATTCTAAAAAAATAAAATTTTATAATAAACTTCTTCAATGTATATACGAGATCATAATTAGGAGGAAAAATTAAAATTATAATATAATATTGATTATATAAATAACCTGTTTATTCGATAAATCTATTCTATAAATTTGTATTAACAAATTTCTATTATATTACAAATTGTCTTATATATACATAAAATTGCAAAAAAAAAACGATAAATTAATGAAAAATATAACACGTAAAAAAATACAGATTAACTAGAGTTATACCGTAGAGATCGAAAATGTAAATTAAAGGAGAACGAACTTGGAATTAAACCAGACTGAATTAAACGGATGATTTATTTGAGCTACCAATTCTTGAAACGTACATAACTTCTCATTTCTTGAAATAGATAAATATTTTTGACTATTCCAGTAAACTAGTTGCAGTTTACGCAAAATAAAGTTTTTTTTCTCTTTGATATTCGCTTTCATTTTATTTTTCCTGATAAAAGATGGGAAAGAATTTTACTTTACTACTAATATTGATTTTTCTCTTCTTTTTTTCTATATACATCTATTTTATTTTTCATCACAAAGAGCATCTTATCTTGTACAAAATTGGCTTTTCGTTTAATGACTTCAAAAAAAAAAATTTAATGTTCTCTTTGAAGAGAGAATCTCAATAATTTTATTAATACTTTATGCACAATATATTTATAATTGATTTCTCTTTAACGTAATTCATTTTATGATACTTGATTATCACGATTCAAACTTTTGCATTCGTCAATCAACAATCGCACAACTTCAGCTCGTTCCATGAATTCCAATGAATTCTCCATTAAAATAGTAAAATCTTTTTATAATAATTTTTCTCTCTTTAAATTGTTAAACTTATATATCATTATATAAATTATTCATTTAATATACCATTAATAGGTAAGAAGTTTGAGTCAAAAAGAAAAGCAATTTTAATCAGTCAAATCGGAGAAAATAAGATATTGTGCAATAATATCATTTTGAACGAAGAATAGAGAAGAATCTTACCTTGAAAAGTATCGAGATGCCAAGATTCATGAACGGTTTTGTGAAGTCGATCACGCTTTCACGGGCGTAATTAATGGTCATTGAGCCAACGGCCAAATCTGCTTTCTGCGAATAGAGACGAAATTGATTATTCACTGAGGAAATAAAGAAAATTTATTTATACAAAGGAAATTTATGTGGTGTGAATATTACGATTAGGAACGTTGATCCACGCGTTTCGAGAGAAGGGTGTTACGATATTTCAAAAATTAAAGATCGTAAAAGACGTAGATCAAAGTATCCAACTCGTATTCGATGAATGTGTGATGGAATCTATGATTCGAGATTCTGTGATTGCGTATGGTCGTGTGCATTCTCCTACCTTTCTCCACGATCATTGATATTCCTATATCTAATCTAATCCTATGTCTAATTCTTGTGTTGGAAGCCAGTGATGGTGCCAGTGTAATTGTAAAGTAACGTGCAGTTGGTGCAGGATTCAAGGAAGCAAGGGGTAATCTAATCGGATTTAAAAACGTAATTCTACAGCTACGTTAAAATCACCTCTATGGGATAATCGATATTCAATCTCTACGAAAAAAAAACCTTATTCTACTTCTTTTTATTTATTTCAAAAGATTAACGTCCATCGATGTCCTTGGAAACATTTCAAAGAATCTTCAACATTGTCGATCCATGACGATTCTTGATTCTTTATCGAGAAATCTTTTCAAAAGCTACGGTAAAAATCATTTTTATGGTGCGCATATATTAACATTATATTTTGATCTCTATAAACAGGATATATTTCTCTTAAAGAAAGAATCTTATGCAACAGCTTGCGCAAGAACTATTTTCTCCTCGTAACTTTTTTCCCCTTAAAATATTTTCACTGTATCAATTCTACTTCTAATTTATAATTATAATTATTATTCTATTTCTTATTTTAAAGAACCTATTAATTTCCTATTATAATTCTCCTTAATTTCCTCGAAAAATTTTCAACAAGAATTTCGAACATCGTCAGATCGTCCATCGACAAATCGAATGATCCCCTCGAATTCATCCCATTGGTGTCCCGATTCACGGAAACGAAGAATCGCTCGAGGATCCGCCAGAAGGGGAAAGATTCGAGGAACGTTTTGGAAAGGAGGCAAAACGTTGTATGCATACACACGAAGTTGGGATACGTTATCTCACTGCTTTTTCAGCGTCTGGAAAAGCAGTCACTATGGCGCGGGGCACGCCACGCTAGCTAGGCAGATTTATTCTCGCTGCGACTACTTGGAAACCGTGTATGCGGTCACGACCGATAAGGATGGTTGAAAGAAATTGCTTAACTTTCACGTTTCGACTATACATTCGTGGATTTGTTCATTTCTTTCTCCGCATTTGATCGATGATCAAAAGTCGTTTCAAGGATTATTTTATCGATGATCTAAAATGTGTCGCGAGTGATGGATTTGAATTAATAGTTTGGAACGTTATAGTGATGTTCTGATGGTGTGCGAGTCATTCGCTTAAACCCATCGCTACCAGAATCGATATCAACACATGTCTTAATTCATGTCTGTATTTGCCTCGAGATAAACTTCACGACTAGTAATGGGATCATTTGGAATTATTTCGAATCTTTCTATTATATAAAGTGTATGCATATCAGATTAATGTTTCGTGATTCTATCTAGATCGATCGGGTCTAACTTCGAATTGGCCTCGATCGACTTAAACGATGAAGATGGCAAATAAGTCTGTTGTAATATCGAAGGAATTTCAAATAGAATCGTTTAATCATTCGGCCATTCATCGAGCAATTCTGCAACGAACGCATTTATACGCGTGTAATTTATACGGCTGTATTCTTCTAGAAAAAAAGCATCATTAA